TTTATTTGTGCTGATAAATAAATAAAGGAAGACTAGTATAGATCTATTTCAAGCTATTTAGCTCTCATCAGCTAGCCTATATTGGTTAGAAAATATCTTTGGTTCTAATAGTTGATCAAGTGACATGGCCATCATCTTAGGTGATGTCTGAGAGGATATGCTTTATGGCAGAGTGAATGTCCCAACATCAATTACAGTAAAACTAAAATGTTCTCCATTGTACATTGCCACTCTTGGAAAAATTAATGTAATTAATGTTACTCATAACTCATTCAAATATCTTGGAGCACTTTTTAATATCTTGGCATCATGGTATAAAGAAATAAGGAAAGTGTCCTTGCAGGACCAGAGTCTTCCAATAAACAAAACATGTATTAAATGTGAATATGTATTTTTTAAATTTAAAATTTTATGTGAAAACATAGTGGATCTGCCTAATAACGGAATATATTATTCCAAAATTCCCTCCAAATAATTTTATTTATGTATTAATATATTTGTTTTCATAGAGTAGAAATTCCAAAATTAGCTGTAGGAAAATATAAATTGGCTATAACTTTCATATTATTGAAAAATGCATTTCTAACTTAGAAATAAGTTAACCCGTGATCTAGAAAAGGGGTGTCAAACTCAATTTTATTGATGGCTGCATCACGGTTGTGTTTGATCTTGGGAGCCTGGGGTGGGGTAGTCAGGGTGGACATGGCCTGCTCAACATCACTAGTGTTGGGGACACCTGTGGTGGCCCAAGCACTTTGCCAGTAAAAACAGGCTCCCAAACTCAGTTTCTGGCTCCAGCAACCCTCTCCTGGCAAAAATGGAGTTCCATTTTCACTGGCAAAGGCACCACAGGCCGGTCGCTCACTGTTTCCAAAGCAACCCCAAAGGCTAGATCTAAACACCCTGTGGGCCAGATCTGGCCCCCGGCCTTGAGTTTGACACCCCTGGTCTAGAACAATTCAGTCATGATTATATAATTATATAATATAATTATATATCTCCATACCCAAGATAGTGGTTAATAATTATATATTATTATAATGTAAATAATATAAAATTAGTTTTATAATATCACACAATGAAGGTATTTATTTTTATTAATTTTTATGCTGTCCATCTTTCCTGTAAGGTGACTCTGAGCAGCTTACAGGATATAAAACAAAGAGAAAAATAATTAAAACATTAAAACTACACAGATTAAGATTTTAAAAACTATACTGAAACCAGAAGAGATGCATGTGACAAGGATGACATTTTTACCCTGTCAACCACTATTATACCTAAATTAAACTTCTTATTTCTGAAAGAAATTGCTGCTTTCTTGCTTTTTTTTACTTTTCTTATGTTGCTTTTAATATGTATGTATTAATATTAGTGATACATAGAGCATATTATGTAACTCTAAGATGATACTGTTGGGTGCTGGAATTTGCTTTAAAGAGTATCAGAATTTCCAAACATATGAAACACTGTTTATGAAAAGTTTGGTAAAGTTAAATCAGTCTATTATTATGCTAAACGTGTTCACAATCTATCCTCTTTTTATTTTTTAAAAATTATATTATATATATAGATTCCAATTTCTGCTCTTGTCTCCTTTGTGGAAGCTCTGGAAGTTGGCTATAGCAAGTATAAAAATCCATACCACAATCTAATGCATGCAGCAGATGTCACACAGACTGTTCATTACCTCATTTTAAAGACAGGTGTAGCAGTAAGTAGACAAAATATTAATTAATTAAGAGTCCAATATGAAAATAGTAATAATCATGGCAATAAAATAGGTTTGAAGGTATTTATGACACAATTAAAATTTGGGTTTGCTAAAGTAAGTTTTTTTCCAAGCGCTTTTATCTTGATTGAATATATGGCATTAAGTTGTTCTTATTGACTTAGTGAGGGCAAGCTTTATATTAAGGATATTTGGATTATAATGTGATATTTTGACATATACTACAAGTAAGATGTCTGTAGGAACTTTTCTAACAATATTATTTGGATTTAGGATTTTAGAATTGTATACTTATTACATATTCAGCTAAATGAAGATAACTTTATTAATTAAACTCTTTTATTGTTAGGATAGGTGGTCAAGTCCAAAATATAAATGTCATTCCAGTGTTTCTTACAGAATATATAATTTAATGTACAGTAATTGTATTACAAATCTGTAAAAACTATAGTCAGTAACTAATATGACAAAGATTTAAATATATAAATCTGAACCTGTATTGCAACTCAGACCACAAAGAGTCCTACTGTCAAAGAATTTGCAGTCTATACCTCTTTCTAATATCTATCAATATGATTTTCCCATCAACTAATGCTGAATCCTTATGAAGATAGTGTCTCATTTTTGCAACAGGTTGATGGTAGGGTATGTTAGGAATATATATATAGTAGAAAATATGTTTGGGACAAAACATGACAGGGTGAGCTCTCATTCTCTCCCAGCTCTGTCAAACTAGCATCTCGATAGCATACTGATGCAAGTAGATATTTATCACTTTGGTGGGAAAGTAACAGCTCTCTGTGACATCATGCTGGCCACATGATTACAGAAATGTCTTCCAACAGCGCTGGCTGAATGGTCTTGAAATGGAGATAAACACTGCCCGTTATGGTTGGCAACAACTAGTGGAGTAAAATCTACAGGGACTCATTTACCTTTTTAAATTGGGGTTTATATGATCCTTTAATCTAGCAAGGCTCTAGATTAGAGTCTTGTTTTCAATCAGGCATCTAGAATAATGCCTGAATATCAATATTTTGACCCAGGTGAATCAGTGAGTGGAGCCCAGTACCAACAATAACATCCACTTCTGTACCTATGCTTTTGAAACTACAGTTTTTTCCCTGACTACTATAATCTCCTCATTACCTCCAATTTCAGTAATAAAAGCAAGAATTAAATCAGTATTAGTTAAGTTGGCATAGATAAATTCAGTGATAACTTTAATAACGAATGCAAGGATAGTTACATTAATATTAGCTTAGCTCTGAAAGAGAGGAGGAAGAGAGAAAGAAATATATATATATGTTTTCATAGATTTTCACGGGTGTAGGTATGTTGGTCTTGTTGTATTCGGGTCTTTTCCCATATAAGATTGAGATTGTCTTGGCAATGTTTCGATGAGGTCTCACTTGCCATCTTCAGGCTGGGTTTTGGGCTTAAATCATGATTGGAGCTGCCGTCTTTCTATAAATCTTGGTGGGGGTGTGTGGAGTGCTGGCTTTGTTTCAGTAAGTGGAATAATTGGTTGTGTGGTTGTATCATGATTGGTAGATTGGTGCTGATTGGTGCTGGCTGTGTGTCCATTGTTGTTTCATGTTGTAACAGCCTGGGTGATGGGTGGGGCTCGTTTGTTGACTAGGGCTGGTTTCCAGATGTCTAGCAAGTGGGAGGCATCATCACGTTTATTTATGTTGTTGTGGGTATTTCTCTATTTCGATAGATTCCATAATTATTCTCTTGTTAAAGTGTTCAGTTTTGGAGATTAACCTGATTCCTTCAAAATTAATCTCATGTCCTGTAGCTTTAAAGTGCTGGAAAAGGGAGGAAGTTTTTTCTTTTTTTCTTACTGCGTTCTTGTGTCCAATGTGGATTCAGACAATCAGCAGGTGTGAAGATGTTTTTGTAATGGATACTCTGGGAAAGTAATAAGAAGACTTTCTCAGAGTCATTTCCTGAGGGATGCAGTCCACATGGCCCTCCCTCCCCCACATTCCCCAAAAGGTGAGAAAATGCCATGCCTTTAGGTGCCAGGCTGGAAGTTATAAAGCAATTAATAACATGGTACAGGATAGATGCATAGAAGGAAAGAAAAGTCTAAAGGAAGTATACCCCCCCCCTTCTTCCCATGAAGAATGGCAGATTCACGAATCTGACACATTGCCTTCTGATAGAAATTTGGAAGTGCAATTTTAAAAAAAAGAGATGGTAAGAACCAAAGTAATCAGTGTCATGGACAGCTTTCAAATATTAAGTTGATATTTATTTATCAAGTTTAAGCATGAATAGCAGAGAATACTATTCTTTCTGCCACACTAGGAGGGAGAGATCTCTGTTTATATGCAATATATACAATTATAGAGATATTATACAGATATAATTTCATGCATGCATCAGAAGAAAGCTTGTTATCATATCTTATTTTTTATATTCCATCTGTGGGAGAAGGGTTTTGACTTTACAAGCCTCATACTGTAATGTGGAAATTTTTTTTAAAATTCTAATTAATCTGTTACCTAAATCTCAGGGGTAGGTTTCAATTTTTTTTACTACTGATTCTGTGGGTGGGGCTAGGTGGGGAGTATGTGACTGAGTGAGCATGGCCAACTTGACATCACTCACACCTGCACCCACTCAGTCATATGCCCCCACCTAGACATGCCCACAGAACCTGCAGTTGGCCCTTTGGCGTCCCTTCTTTCTGCTGGTGTCCCTTCCTGGCTGGGGGACCCTCCAGGGTAACCCCACTGCTCTGGTTGCATCCAGGAGGGCTCTGGGTCAGTCAGCAGCCCCCATGCAGCAACCTCGTGACCTTTATAAACAGAAATTAACTATCTTCTTTTAATTAACCATTTCAACATCTACATGAAACCGCTGGGTGAGATCATTCGCAGGCACGGGATTAGATACCATCAATATGCGGACGATACTCAACTGTATCTGTCCGCCCCGTGCCAACTCAATGAAGCGGCAGACGTGATGAACCGCGGCCTCGAAGCTGTTATGGACTGGATGAGGGTTAACAAGCTCGTGCTCAACCCAGAAAAGACCGAGTGGCTGTTGTGTTTCCCTCCCAGAGATTCGACCAATATTCCATCACTCAGGCTGGGGGGTCAAATTCTACACCCCTCAGAGAGGGTTCGCAACTTGGGAGTCCTCCTGGACTCACAGCTATCGTTTGACCACCATTTAATGGCTGTGACCAGGGGGGCATTCGCCCAGGTTCGCCTGGTGCGCCAGTTGCGACCCTACCTGAATCGGGAGGCTCTCACAACAGTCACCCGGGCCCTTGTGACCTCTAGGCTGGAATACTGCAACGTGCTCTACATGGGGCTGCCCTTGAAGAGCATCCGGCGACTTCAGCTAGTACAGAATGCGGCCGCGCGAGTGATTGTGGGTGCACCTCGGTTCACCCGCATAACACCTATCCTCCGCGAGCTGCGCTGGCTACCTGTCGATCTCCGGATGCGCTTCAAGGTGCTATTAGTCACCCATAAAGCCCTACATGGCAGTGGATCTGGATACTTGAGAGACCGCCTTCTGCCAATTACATCCCTGCGACCAATAAGATCACATAGATTAGGCCTCCTCCGTATACCATCGGCCAGCCAGTGTCGGCTGGCAACTACAAGGAGGAGGGCCTTCTCAGTAGTAGCCCCGACCCTTTGGAACGAGCTCCCCGTAGAGATTCGCACCCTCGCCACCGTCCAGGCCTTCCGCACAGCCTTGAAGAACTGGCTCGCCCGTCAGGCCTGGGGACAAGGATAGTTCCCCTCCCGAATGATGAATGTATGTTGTTTATTATTTTATTATATGTCTTATCTTAATGTCTGTATTTCCCCTTCCCCGATTTTATGTGAGCCGCCCTGAGTCCCCTCAGGGAAAAGGGCGGCCTACAAATATTAATAAAATCTCATAAAAATCTCATAAAAAAAAAATCTCAATGAGAATTTTTCTAAAACTTCTTAAATTCTCATTGAAATGGAAAGTTTAAAAGAAGATGGTTAATTTCTGTTTATAAATCAGTGGTCAGCTGGGAAAGCATCCCCAGGAGCTGAGCGGGCCGATTATGGCTTCACAGGCTAAAAGGGAAGCTGTGCCTCCCACCTGACAGGTGCCCTCTCCCCTTCTTGTCTCCCCCGCACCCTGGCCGGAGTGGTCACATGGTGGTGGCGTATGATGGGGCTGCCTCAGAGAGTCTCCCAGCTGGGAAAGGGCTCCAGGAGAAAGCTGCCCCCCCCCCCCGAAGAGCCAACTGCAGCCAGTAATGGGGCACAAAGGAGTGGCCATCCAGCAGAGCCAGGAGCGTCCCTAGGTCACTCAAAAGTACAAACATTCATTGAAAAATAGTACAAGGCTAAGTGTATAGGAAATGCCATGTCTTTTTTGTGTTTTTTTTGCTTTTTCTTTAGAAAAGTTATTATAGATGCAGCAAATTCTGAGTGAGTTCAGATTTTTTCCCCCCTATAGTCAGTGACTTTATTTTTTATCATGATGGTGATAATAATCATGAGGATAAGAGAACTGAAAGAATTTACTATTTGAAGGATTTTTTAATATATTTCATTTATTTAGCATATTTACATAGTCATCCATCTCAAAACATGGAGTTCTGGATGACATATTCCTATGTATACAAGTAAATCCAATCTATTTGTTTGAGATTATTAGTTTGGGTTTACTAAATAAGAAAGAAAAAAATGTAGTCTGTAAATGTGGTTGGCTATTGGGTAACTTTTATTAGGTATTATGTTACCTAATAGAAAATAGAAATCTGTTTAAGTGCAAAATCAAAACAGGGCAATTTGGTAATAATTTCTGCCTCATAATCTACATTCTTGTTCATGAAAACTTAAATTCCTTAAATTTTATAAATTGGAAGAAATAAGCCACCCTAAAGGCAATTCTATCCATGTGTCTGAAATTAAGTATTTGGAATTTTCTGAAAACGAATTGAAAAAATATATTTGTTATGTCACATGGTTAAATTGCAAGATGCAAGACTAATATAGCAAAGTGAATTTTGCTTCTTTAACAGGTATTCTGGGAAGAATTCAAATCAAAGTTGATTTTTCATTTCACATCTAAGAAAGTTTTAAAAACTGTTAATTTCAACTTGGTTTAGCAACCAATATTTTTCTTGGGTAATTGTCTTGTTTACTTTTGTAATTTTTGAATTTAAACTGAAATGTGCTCACATTATTTTATGCAAACTAGAAGCTACTTTGCAGAACAACATATTGTTCTCTACTCAGATATATCTCCAGTGTCATGATAGCCACAAATAAAAACACCAGTTATATTTTTTCCTGGTCTACATTTGTTTCATCAGCTTTTTAAATTTTTTAAATTATGAGCAATTAATCCTAAAATACTTTTTGTAATTAACTATGCAAAGAAAATTAAATAATTAACGTTCAATAACATTTTTAAAATTAAAAATGGGAAAGACCAAAAGAATGGAATATTGTTCAAATATTCTCTTTTTTTTAAGTAATCTTTATTAGTTATACATTTTTAAAGAGTAAAACATACAAATACAAACACAATTTTAAACATACAACCCCCCCTCCCCCCCCCGCGGTGACAGTCATTCACAGCCCAACTTTTTTTTCCTTCCTCATTGTTAGGTCTCTAAGCCACATCTTCTCATTACAAAATTCAGGGATCTATTACAATACCCATGTTCACTTTTAACTTTCCCCGTTTTAAGTCCCTGCTGTTCTCCTTGTCGCCCACATATACCATAAGTTCCAGCTAAGGTAATGTTCCATTTCTCCTTTGTCCCTCAGCCAACCCGTCATTCTGTCCATTTCTGCACATTCATAGATCTTTCCGATGGTATGGTAGTGGATTTCCAAAATTGTGCATAAGTTATTCTTGCGGCCACAATTATATGTAGGCTCAAATGCCATATTGAATTGCTCATGTTTTCTGGTTTAATGCTTAGTAGAAGGTTCTCGGGTCTCCATTCCATGCTTGCCCCGGTAACCTCTTTTAGCCATTTTTTAATCCTTCTCCAGTATTTCGTGGCCTCAGTACAGGACCACCAAATATGGTAGAATGTACCATCCTTTCTTCCACATTTCCAACACAGTGGAGATAACCCAGGAAACATTTTGGCTAACCTCATTGGGGGGAAGTGCCACCTATAAACCATCTTGTATATGTTTTCTTTAAATGCTGTAGATATTGTAAGTTTAATGGTCCTACTCCATAGATCCCACCATTTGCCCATTTCAATCTCATAGCCAAAGTTTCTCTCCCATGCTATTAGAAGGCTTTTATCCATCTCTTCATTAGCATCTTGGCAGGTCAAAAATTGATAAATCTTCGATAACATTTTCTTGTCTCCGCCGAACAAAATCTTATCTAGCTCCTGAGGGTTTGGGTAGATCCCAAACCGTACCTTATCGCTTTTAAACCTGTTTCTAACCTGTAAATATTCCCATCATTCCAGATTCCTGCCCTGCTGCTCTAATTCCATCTTTGTTTTCATGTTGCCATCTTCTGTCATGATGTCTTTATATGTTATGTTTCTTGTCCAATTAAATACACTGGGATGTGTTAAGGCCTCTAACAGTGCCAACCAGCACGGAACCCTAAGATAGTATTTTTTCCTCATCTTTTCCCAGACCCCCATCAAAATCTTCCGAATATAATGTCCCATGAAGTACCTATGGGGGGTGTCTCTTTCTTGCTTGTTCAAATATTCTCAAGTACAAGTTTCCAAATATTTGGGAGTCAGTGTTTCAGTAGTTGGGAATGGGTGGAGAAGAAACTGGACAAAATATTCAGAGTTTATTTTACTGTCTCATTAAAATTTGAAGTTCTTAAACAGTTTGTGTGGTGCCCCAAGAGTAAAATTCAGAAATATCAAGATTCCCTATAGACAACAATTGAGCATAGCAATTGAGATTAATAATTTTTAAAATTCTGTATTGTTATTCAGGAGCTACAGCAATGATAATTTTAGTAAAAAGATATAAGATTCCAACATTGTTGGCCTTACTAAACAGTAGTCTATTTAGATATTTGCAATATAATACATTATCTAATTTCTCAAAATCTTTTTTCCAGCACTGGTTGACAGAACTGGAAATCTTTGCTATGATTTTTGCAGCTGCTATCCATGACTATGAGCACACTGGAACTACAAACAACTTTCATATTCAAACAAAGTGAGTGCTGAAAGATGAGCTATGATCAAGCAATTTGCCATTAAATTTCTAAGTCTAAACTTCATTAGTATAGTTCCAGTTTTGTGTCTTACAATTTGACCATGACTATCAAAATAAAGTTCCAGACAGGTCATAAAATTGTAGTTAACAGTTTTAAATATGGCAATATTTTTATATAATTAGAGGCTAGAATGAGAATTTATGATAAACCTCTTATCAACATCTATGCTTCTTCATAATATCTTATTTAATACAATTTATTCATGTCTGACATCATAATTTTGGTTTTTGTCAACCCCTTTAGTGACATCTAATTGAGATATTTTCCTCTCTTTGTTATATTTTTTCTCCATTGAGTGCTGTAAGCTGTGTTCTGAATTTCTGTTCTCATTTTAAGTTCATAAAATATTAAACCAATTATTTATATTTGATAATCTAAAATAAATTAAATAATATTACATTATGAGTGACTTTTATTTAATAGACTGATGGATATATAGCCACAATAATGAAATTTGAATATATTTTTGTAACAGCTTTCAATCATTATGCTAAAGAAGTTCTTTCACAACACTTTGGTGTTTGACTTTTAGAAAAAATTGCACAGCAAAGAATCTGAATCGCATTTGTGCAGTTTTGTCAACATACATATGCCTATTAATGATGTGGAAAGCACAGACAGCTACAGATGAATAAAAAGATTTTACGCTCTGTAAAATCCATAATTAAAATCAAAATAAAATTAACTTAATTCAGAAATAATAGCAGATAAATTCCAAATATATAATATTGGCAACAATTTAGATGAGGATAATTTTTAGAAACATCCATTCTGCCATAATGAGTTTATATTCGAAGGAATTCAAAAGGAAATAATGAACAAATCATGACATGACAGAAATGATATATACATAAAAACCAGGACAGCAGTTTGGGAATGGAATGAATTACTTGTTAAAGGCTTATAACAGGTAGAAGCTGCTAAACCAGATCTTGGCAATCCATGGCTCCAGAGCCACATGTGGCTCTTTGGGCCCTCTGCTACAGCTCCCTGTCCCATCATTGAATGGCCTCGCCCATCACCCTCCCCTCCTTTGCTTAGTCTGAGAAAGTAAGGGCAATAGTGGGGGATGGAGAAGTGGCCAGGGCTGATTCTCCAGCACCTCATTCTTGTGGAGTTTTTTCTGGCCCTTGTTGGTGCTGGACATGCCTCCGTCTTTTGGGGAGACATGAACTTGTTCTCCACCTCGAGGCACTGGCCTGGCCTGGCCACGATCAACACCAGCCTTCCTAACACATGGCCTGCCGGGGTGACAATGGGATCCAGGAGGATGGGACATCAGAAAGGGGGATGGGCCCAAAGCACCCAGCCATAGTTTTAAGAGGTTCAGGATAGTGAGGGAAAGAGAGCTGGCCCTGCTGAATCTTGCATGCCCATTCAGGCTTGGAGAAAACCCTCACCAAAGATGCTTGTCATCCGACAATCTCCCCCCTCTCTCAATGTCTCTTTTTGTATGTAAATGTGGTGTGAAGGCAGGTACAGGGCCAATTAAGAAGGGCCTCCCTCCCCATGCACACCCTCCCAGTCCTGCCACAGTCAGCCAGGGGGTCATAAGAGGAAAAGGAGGAGGAGGAGGGTCTCTGGAGCCTTAGTGCAGGAGTGAAGTGGCCCTGTACCTGCCTTTGCACCACATTTGCACATAAGGCAGTCTTTGCTTCCTGCCACTTCAGGCTGGAATTCACGCCCTCCATGCATGAGGGGGGGGCATGGCAAGGCAATGGCCAGAGCCTTTGTACAAGAGTGAAGTGGTCCTGTACCTGCCTTCATGTCGCATTGGTATGTAAAGTAGCCTTTGCTTCCTGCTTCTTCAGGCTGGAGCTTGCACCCTCCGTGCTCAGCCAAAGAGTTTCCAGGGAGGATGACGACATGGCAAGGCAATGGCTAGAGCCTAAGTGCAGGAGAAAAGCCACATCCTTTTGCATCCTGTTAAGACCCTCATTAAGTGAGCAGCTGCTTGAGGCAGACAGACAGAAAGACAGACAGACATAGAGAGATACACATCCGTGCGCGTGCACACACAGAGCAAGATAAAAAGGAGGAGAGAGAGACATAGAGAGACACAAACAGAGTAATACACAGAAAGGGGGAGAGGGGGAGATAGGGAGGGAGAAAGAGAGAGATGGGGAGAGGGAGGGATGGAGAAAGAAAGAGATGGAGAGGGAGGGAGAGAGTGATGAGGGAGGAAGGGAGGGAGTGGGAGATAGAGAGGGAAAAAGAGAGAGATGGGGAGAGGGAGAGAAAAAGAGATGAAAGGGAGGGGAAGAAGGATAAAGAGATGGGGGAGGGAGAGAGATGAGAGAGAGGGAGAGGGAGGGAGAGTGAAAGAGATGAGAGGGAGGGAAGGAGAGGGAGATAGAGAGATAAGAAAAAAGAGAGAGGGAGAGAGAGAAAGAGGGAGGGAGAAAGAGAGATAAAAATAGACACCTGTTTCCCATAGAAAAGAAAACAGTCACAAAACCTGGGTATGTGTGACTGGGGGGGGGGTTCATGTGACTTGCAAGTGAGTGACATCAAGTTGGCCATGCTCACCCAGGTTTTGTGGCTCCCAGTGTTTTTTTCTGTAGGAAACAGGTCCAAATGGATCTTAGAGTGTTTAAGGTTGCAGACCCCTGTGCTAAACCATCTGTTGGTTTGTTACAACCTTAAACACATTTGGACTTGTTTCCCACAGAAAAGAAAACACCAGGAGACACAAAACCTGGGTGGGCATGGTCACTCACTCCCACCCAGTCACATGACTATCTATCTATCTATCTATCTATCTATCTATCTATCTATCTATCTATCTATCTATCTATCTATCTATCTATCTATCATCTATCTATCTATC